TTCTCCATTTATCTAAGCTTCTGAAACAAACTGGTTGGGGACCAACAAACAAAATAGCAGGCAAGCTCTGGGACGATTTCTCTCGCCCATAGTCCACGTCCGGTTTGAGTTTGTCACTAAGTTTTACCCTACTCAGGAAGCGGAAATTTTTTTGTGGTTACTCAAACATATCAATTTCATTTGGCCAGAAGGAAACAGAAAAGACGGCTTAACACATGAATACAAATAAAATTAAAGTCACTTGTATTTATCCACAGTTACTTCATGACGTATCCATTTACTTTTAATAGCAGATAAATATAGTTTGCACTAAATGTAAATTTCTCTGTAGCATTTCATTAAAGAATCATGTCGTTTGTACCATCAAATTCCACAAAATTTCGCTCACAAGACCTCTGCTATTACGTTCTCTGGATGTAACACCCTAACCGGCTCAGAGGAAATCTTGTAAAGGTTCATGGGTATGCGATTCGTTAAGCTTAATTTCCTGCATTACTCACACCAGTCCCTAAATAAACGTTCCTCAATTGCGTTGCATTTGCCTCGGAATACACGTAAGAAAAATATTTTGTCTCTTGCCGAATTACATTCCACGACCCCACAACACTCCGTACAATACCCTGAAGAGGGATTGGATGAAGATGGAATTGGGTGGAAGCTAATTAAAAGGCTTCTTATTTAGCTTGAGCGGGTAAACTTTCTCCTGCAAGTCCGGCCAAGAGATTTCTCGCGGCTAAGGTTGCCATAGCTTCTCTAGTGGATTCCTCTGCACTGCCAATATGAGGAAGTATAACTGAAACGAGGAAAATAAGGCACAAAATGACTTTTTTGCTTACATTTTCAATTCCCCCATTGTATGTCATGTCTGTCAGGCATGTGCGAAGGAATCAATTTGGGCCACCCGCACGCCAATTCCCCGCGCAAAATTTCGAAGGATAACAGAAGAAACAACACGTTTCCCGCAAAATAAGCGAAAGAAAATTGAAACCTTCATAGAAATCTGTAAAACGAAACAAAAGAATGGAAAAGAAAAGCTCCCATCTTTACGAACACAAAGCTTACTTAAGAACGGGTATCTTGTTGATTTCCCATTCTGTTTGAACTTTACCGAGAGTTACATTCTTCAAAAACACCGTGACTTACTGGCATGTGTGGTTGGTGTAACTCGTGTGAGGCAACTTGGCTCTGACAGCAAGAAAGCATGCCCCATATTCACTACAACGTTCACAAATGCGCAAAAGTTTAAGCGCTGTGTTGAAGGGCTTACCATTAGCTTTTTCAGTCTCCAAATGGGGACCAAAATTGAGAAAAATGCGTCGTAGGAAAAATAATAAAGTGAGAACAGAGAACGTGGTCCCATTTTAAATTTATAGTAAAGGTAACTTATATCATCATAGATCGGACAATCTCTTTTCTTTTTCTAACTCCCCAAATGCTGAAAAAAAAAAAAAAAAAAAAAAAAAAAAAAACAGCTGACAAGATATAACTTCAGTAATTGCGTTTCTTGCTTTTGTTACATCTCTCAATGCCTACATGTTTTAAAATACAAATTTTTTTCTTACCGCAGTTGCTTAGAGACAAAAGCGGGTGATCTGTTGGAAGAGGTTCAGGAACTGTAACATCCAGTCCAGCACCCTACAAAGAACAACAACAAAATCAATAACAAAGGCGTAAATATATAACGAGCTTTCCTTCGATCGATCGACAAGTTCTTTTCCCCTATAACTGATGTACTACTTCCCGCTGAGGAGGAACTTTTTAACAAAAAAACTTGCCATTAAAATGCGGTTTAAGGCATGGCACATTTTGCCGTCTATTCAGAAATGCAAGTACAGCTTAAATTTTATTTAACATTAGAAGAATATGCCCATTCTTCTATAAGACTAACGATGAACCCGCGCAGCATGGATTCGCTCGGCGACTTATCTATGAAAAAAAACCCTGGGAAAGGTTTAATTTATACGAAAAAAGCGCAAAGCAACTAAGGACAGACTAAAATGCTTTGAGTGTACTTCAAAAGCAGAGAAACGCACGGCGGAAACGAGGATAGCCAATTCCAGACATACTTTGATTTCTCAAGGCAATCGTCTCATTCAAATCATAGCAGTACTGTTGTGTGGAAATGATATACTAGAGATGTATTCGTACATCGAGCACGACATAACTGTGTACTCTCCCGCCCCCCTCCCATAGTTTTTCATGATATGGCCTGAAAATCCATCGCTACTAATCTAAATTCCTGATTGGAAGGATTGAGAGAGCAGTCTTGCCTAGGAAGAACAATGTCCCAGTCAGAGCTCAGACCCAAACCTCTCGATGCACAATTCAGCGCGCTAATTCCTAGGTCACCGAGTCTCCTGACTAAACAGATGTTTACTCACCCATATTTGTCCACTCTTAAGTGCTTCATACAAGTCCTCCTGGTTTACCACTCCTCCTCTTAATAAAGATAAAGAAATTTGCAAATAAACGATCTCAACAAGTCAATCAAGTTATTTGAACACAATTTCAGACAAATATGGTAAGAACATCAGTGACACATTCGGCTGAGCGTTATCTGTGTTCTATAACTCAACAGAGTCTACAGACGTATGTAATAACATTTGTGAAAAAGACATCGTCCAAAGATACTGACAGCTCTTACAACAGAAAGACAAAGCTCCAATGATCAAAACACTCCCTTTTCACCTTACCTGCTGGTATTGATAAACACTGCACTTCTTTTCATCTTGGAAAAGACATTCCTATTGAACATTCCTACAAAAAATGGTTTTTTGACATCTTTGAGAACATCTCTACCTTACGAACTCTAATCTATTGAATGAGACCAACTTCTCAGAACAAACTTTGTAAGAAATATATGGTAGACAGCCACGAGAATTGGAGTAAAACGGTTGACAAATTTCTCTTTTTCTGATTCCTCTGTGATTATTATAGTTTTGGTTTCATATCGACAGCCAAAAAAGGTGCCATTCATTTTTACCTGCTGTTTCATCTGTCAGAGCTGTGTGTGCACTCACAAAGTCGGATTCTTTCAACAGGGTGTCCATGTCAACTGAAATACGAGGATATTACATTCGCGTAAGGCAGACTTTTTTCATAACCGAAAAATAACCCTAACTGCAATTAACCTGTTGAGATTAATTAATGATTTGCTATCTTATCCATCAGCAAATTTATAATTCATCCCAAACAATAACAAACCTACTTGTAGTAAGCAGAC